TGATCCATCAAGTACTTCAGACTCTTATGGTCCGTGTATATGGTACACCGAACTCCATACAGATAGTGCTACCACATCTTGAGGGCAAACACCACAGCCCCCAGCTCTAGATCGTGGGTAGTATATCTCGACTCATGAGGCTTCAACTGCCTCGACGCATATGCTATAACGTGCCCCCTCTGCATAAGCATTGCCCCTAACCCAGATATTGATGCATCACAATATACCACAAAATCCTCCATCCTTTCTGGGAGTGCGAGCACCGGGGCTTCGCACAACTTCTGGCGAAGTGTCTCAAATGAGGACTGCTGCTCCGGACCCCAATAAAATGCAACACCCTTCCTGGTCATCTTGCTAAGTGGCACAACGATCTTGGAGAAATCCCTAATAAACCTCTGATAATAGCCGGCCAACCCCAGAAAACTCCTGATATCAGTGGGTGATTTCGGCACCCCCGATCTCATCACCGCCTCGATTTTGGCCGGATCGACCAATATCCCTTTCTGATTAACAAGATGTCCTAGGAACTGGACCTCTCGTAACCAAAAATCGCACTTGGAGAATTTGGCATACAGCGTCTCCGATCTCAGAACTCCAAGGATTTCCCTCAAATGCTCCTCATGCTGCTCTCTAGAGCTCGAATATACCAAAATATCATCAATGAATACGATCACCGACCGATCCAACATTGGCCTGTACACCCTGTTCATGAGATCCATGAACGTAGCTGGGGCATTGGTGAGCCCAAAAGGCATCACCACAAACTCGTAATGTCCATAACGAGTTCTAAATGCAGTCTTCTGGATATCTTCATCTCGAACCCTCATCTGATGATAACTCAACCTCAAGTCTATCTTGGAGAACCAAGATGCCCCCTGCAATTGATCGAACAGATCATCAATCCTTGGTAACGGATACCGGTTCTTGACCGTCAACTTGTTCAACTCCCGGTAATCAATGCACATCCGGTGTGAACCATCCTTCTTCTTGACAAAAAGAATCGGCGCTCCCCAAGGTGAGCTACTCGATCGAATAAACCCCTTTCCCAACAGCTCCTGAAGCTGCGAGGATAACTCATGCATCTCTGGTGGAGCGAGGCGATAAAGCGCCTTGGCGATAGGTGCTGCTCCCGGAACCAGATCGATACAGAACTCCACTTGCCTTTCAGGAGGAACGCCCGACAGCTCCTCGGGAAACACATCCGGAAACTCGCACACAACCGGTACCTCGTTCACCGAACTTGGCCTCCCCGCGGCCACTCGTGTGTCCATCACATAGGCTATGAATCCACTGCAGCCCTGCTGTAAACTCTGTCTCGCCCTGGCAGCTGAACAAAACGCTGACCCACACCGGTTCCCCTCGCCATACACAGTAAGCACTCCCCCACTAGGGTCTCATATGGTCACTAGCTATCTCTCGCAGTCAATGACCGCTACAAACTTACTCAACTAGTCCATGCCCACAATGACACAGACATCTCCCATCGCGATAGGAACTAGATCTATAGGGAACTTGACACCAAAATTCTCGAGTACGCATCCTCGAATCACCTCGGTGGCATATACCTCTTTCTCATCAGCTATGGAAACCCTCAGGGGTCGACTCATCACCTCCCGATCAATACTGATGTGCTGACTAAAAGCCAAAGATACAAAATACCGACTCGCACCTGAGTCAAATAATACCAAGGTAGGTACAAAATTCACAAGAAAAGTACCTACGCATATCAAAATATAAGCACAATATCTCAACATGAAAGTAAATACACGAAAGAATACATACCAGCCACAACATCGGGCGCCGCGTAGACCTCCTCCGCAGTCAACTGAAAAGCTCTCCCACGAGCCTTCGGAGCCTCGGCCTTCTCCGGTCGAATCTCGATAACCCTAGTAGCAGGCGCAAATCCCTGTGCTGATCCCTGGTGAAGCTGAGGACACTCGGCCTTCTGATGGCCGGTCTGGTTGCAATGAAAGCAGACCATAAATCCTTTGGGGCAATCCCTGGCGATGTACCCCTCCTTGCCACATTTGTAGCAAGCACCCGATCGACAGGCCCCCTCATGACCCTTACCGCACTTTCCGCAAGTGCGGCCCTTCTGACCTCCCGTCCTCGAATCGGCGGACTTGGTCCGCTTGGCTGTCGGCTGAGACTGAGCCGGCCGCCGATCCACCCGATGAGACTCGGCCTCCTCCCTGGCCTGAGTCTCCAACTCGATCTCCCTCTTCCGGGCATTTTCCTGGAGCTCAGAAAATGTCCGGTATATCGAGTTCGATACGAACTCCCGAATTTCCCTCCTCAGAATATCCAAATACTGGCTCATCTGTGCCTGCTCAGTAGACACCTGCTCAGGGCAGAACATCGCCCTCTCATGAAACTTTCGGGTGACCACAGTAACTGAATCATTACCCTGCTTGAGGGTCAAGAACTCCTGAATCAATCGTTCCCTCTCCACCGGGGGAACATACTTGTCTTTGAACATGGTAGTGAATCTTTCCCAAGTCACTGCTGAAATCTCTGCAAGAGTGAAGTTCGCCGTCACGAACTTCCACCAATCCTTCGCCTCTAGGCGGAGCTGGTTCAAAGCGAACCGTACCCTCAGATGCTCCGGACATGAACATGTATAGAAGCATCCCTCAATGTCAGCAATCCATATCATCGCAGTGATCGGATCATGCGTCCCATAAAACTCGGGTGGCTTCGTGTTGCTGAACTCCCGGAATAGCAACGAGTCACCTCCCTGAGGTCTGGCAGCAGCCGTAGCTGCAGCGGCTGCAGCCTCAGTCACCGCGGCATACCGCTCATCGAAAGTCTCCAACAGCATGGTCTTGATAAACCGAAACATCTCCGGAATCTCGGCCCAAATCATCGCAGCCACCTCATCGTGGATCATCTGACGAAGCTCCTCGTCACTCACACCGCTCGTCCCTGGTCTGGCGTGTCCCAACCATAATGCCTCTCTGAAATACAACACAAAAATATCAGAGACCCCATCGAGCATACTCGCACTCGATAACGCAACCCTACTCGACCTCCGATTCCCAAAGGATTCTTACTTGGGCTGCCCACTGATCCGATGTCTTTAGTAGTACGGGCCCTATACTACTGACTACACCGCACCAGCATTCACCCCAAGCCCTCCTCCTTGGACCCCAGATCACGAGTACTCTATTCTTGCTATGCATTGGCTACCTACTCGCTCTCAAGACATCTCATAGCAGCAGGATTCCCTAGACTAAGGCATCACAAATCAGGCCACTCTAGTCCAAATATGAATACCTAGTCTACTCTCGCATGCATAACGTATCATAACATATCTCATAACACATATTGTAAGGGTATTTTGGGGATGTTACCGTTCGGGCGATGGCTGACCATACACACCGCTTCTTCTTTGGGTATCACAAAATCGCTTATAAAATTTTATGCTTTTATTATTGAAATTTTTTTCTCAAATCCTCGGTTTGAGTTCAGTTACGGCCAAAGGTGCACCTGAATCCCTCAAACCAAGGCTCTGATACCAACTTATAACGACGTAAATTTTCAAAACAAATTTTTAATTTCTTAAAACATGTTTTCCTCCAAATCAAGTCATAAAAATCCAATATATCATATCGTCATACAAAACCTATAAATCCCAAGATCATAAAATAAATCCTCCGCTAGTTTGTACAGATCACGTGCGCCTTCGCACGGTCCTTGCTAGTACTTGAAACACATAACACAACAATTGTAAGCATAAATGCTTAGTGAGTTCCCCAAAATACTACTTACACACACATACGCCCTTCCAGGCCCTGACCTTCCGGTCAATGTGTCTCAGGGGACTTCCGTCCCAACCCGGTAAACCTTCCGGGCTGAAGACTCGCCTCATATATCTCGGTAACTCACTGACTCGGTGGGAAATGCGATCTAGCCTCCGCCTAAACACATAAGGCAAATATTCCCATAAATACGACCATACTCTAACCTTTCTTAACATCCTCAGAAGGGTAAAAGACCATTTTACCCCTCTTTTGACTCAAAGGCCTCACTGCTGACCAAACCCTAAAAGCCAACCAAAGTCAACGGTCAACTTTGACCCGACTCGGCGAGTGCACTTGGGAAACTCGGTGAGTTCACCTGTCTCCACTCAACTCCTTAGTCCAATTAACACGTCGAGTCCTTCCCTTTACTCGACGAGTCCCCAGGCATGAATCGCGGGGCTACCTTGACTCAACTCGCTGAGTCCCAAGAACAACTCGGTGAGTACATGCCATGCACAGATTCTTTTGACCTCCTGAGGTCAGATCTGTTCCTCCATTCTATAGATCTGACCTTTCCAATCAAGATAATCTCGTAAAGCTCGAAACTTGATGCTTATAAGCATACATAATGGCATCAAATGGAGATTTATCCCCATAAATGGCAACCTAAGTTCAATCACCCCTCAAGGACCCATAAAGCATACTGGATTGAAGTCTCTAAACCTCTTTGAGTCCAGATCCAAAGCATAGACTCGATAAGGGACCAATTGCTCCACATAAACATCCTCACAAAAGGTTAGAAAACCCTAATCTTTAGGTTCAATAACAAAACTGAAGAAAAGTCGAATGAATACCTCAAGTTGGAATCTCTGGACTCTGAAACCACTTGAACCACACCTCCTTCAGCCTCCTTTTGCTTTTGATCACCTCCTTTTTGCCAAACCAAGGAAAGAAAGATCAATAAAGGCTTCTCCTTCCTTCCAAACAATATAGGTCACTAAGGGAGCTCTCAAGGGACTGGTAGCCGCAATGGGAGGCTAAGAGTACACTTAAATAGGCTCTAACCCTGAAGGATTTAGGGTTTCTTTAAACAGCATGGACTCGCCGAGTCCACTCATGGACGCACCGAGTCCAGAGTGAATCCAGATGAACAATCACGTCCCTACTTGGCGAGTCTACGCATCAAATCGCCGAGTTCCTTCTCATAATTCAAAAAAAAATATTAAATAATATACATGGGATTCCGGATGTTACATTATGGGTGAAGAAGCTGATGTGGTTGAGGAAGCTGTTGTGGTTGAGGAAGTTGTTGAAGATGAGGAGGTTGAGGAGGTTGATCCTGTTATCCAAGTTGATAATGTAAATGTTCAGGAGGTTGATGAGGTTGATCCTAATGCCTAAGTTGATAATGGTAATGTTCAGGAGGTTGCTCCTGTTATCCAAGCTCAGCAGGTTAGTGTTAGGCCAATTTCAGAGATTTTGAAGAGGATAAGGAAAAGAAAGTCAGAGAAAATATTGAAGCTGAAATTAGGCAAAACAATTGGTGGTGTTGATGATCCAGGAAATTCGAAGGGTAAAGCTCTTGTAATTGATTAATTCTTATTGTAATTTATGTTTAAAGTTTATGTAATTGGATGATGGTAAACTGGATTTAAAGTTTATGTAATAGGATGATGGTAATTTATATTTAAAGTTTATGTAATAGGATGTTGGTAATTTATATTTAAGTATGTATGACATAAAAGGGTATTTTAGTCATTTAAGTATGTATGAAAGAAAAGGGTATTTTGGTCATTTAAGTATGTATGAAAGAAAAAGGGTATTTTGGTCATTTAAGTATTTATGAAAGAAAAGGGTATGTTGGTCATTTATTTATGTATGACAGATAAGGGTATGTAGGTCATTTATTTATGTATGCAAGAAAAGGGTATTTTGGTCATTTAAGTATGTATGACAGAAAAGGGTATTTTGGTCATTTAAGTATGTATGACAGAAAAGGGTATTTTGGTCATTTAAGTATGTATGACAGAAAAGGGTATGTTGGTCATTTGTTTATGTATGACAGAAAAGGGTATGTTGGTCATTTATTTATGTATGACATGAAGTATGAAAGTATGTTGCCTTTTTAAGTAAAATCATGACATTTGGCTTTAAATATTTATGCATGGAAAAAAATTGGAATAATGTGCATGCATGGGGATGTTTTATATGGTCCCGGATATGGTTTTTTAATTGCTTACAAGTCCCATTTTTTCATTATTAAAACACTCACTGACTACAAATGGTCCCCATACACATAGTATACTTCCACATGGACCACTTCCTAATTTGTTCCCTGATGCGATTAAACCAACCTTTAATCTACAAGGATCGATTAGATCTTGAACAAGTATGTAAATATAAAACTGTATGAACGCAATAATAAGAATAAGTCAAGATGGAATCAAACGTGTCGAATGATTAAACAAAATCCTCAGAAGAGCTCGATTAAGAACATCAACTGTAGAGGATTGGTAGGTTACAAGAACGATTAAAGAAACCTGTTATACTCTAGATGAAACGCTATGTCGTTAATCTCTAAAATCGTTACCCTAATAAGCATGCAAGCGTAAACTTATATACAAAACATAAAAGGTTCTCGGTTGGACAGGCCCAAACCGGAATGCAAAGTAACTTATACTATCGAGCCCAAAAGACGCAATCTTCAAAATAATCTTCAGCCCAACAATCTCCCCCTTTGCGTCAATTTGGAGCGAGATCTTCACTAGTTACTTGGGCCAGCAGCTGAAGCAGGTACCTTCTTCTTCACGGTGCTAAACAGACATTTGGTGATGGAGAGAATGGTCTGTCTAAACCGGATGTACCAATTGGTCATATCATTGAAGTACTTTATGTCATCAGCCGTGTTCTCTTTACACCGTTTGATAATGAATAACACATGCTCCAAACAAGTTGTGGTGTAAAGGTGCTTGTCAGCTAAAGCGAAGAGATATTTCTGTCCTTCCGCTCTAGTGAACATAACCGAGTTGCGTCTCGGGTCGATCCTGCCCAATTGCATTTGGTTGAGATCACTGGCTGATCCCACAGGAGCAATCTTTGGTTTCTTCTTGAAGACTGTGGCGACCTCCTGATCCATTAGGGCAACCTCCATGATGTAGCAGGCTAACATCCTTTTGACATGGTCTAGAATGGGACCATATTCGGCTTCATTAGTCAAAAGGATATTATACAGGACAATCCAATCATGAGGATTTAGATTCGGTAGATCTGCTAGGGAGATAATATGAGCAGTTCTTGTAGATCCCCGAATCAACTTGAACCGAACGTTTATAAAACGACCTTCGGTATAAGGTTTCAGCACCCGAACGTTTACAATCTTCTGGGCGCTCCAAGTGAGGAATTGAGGACGAGCAGCCGCCAGATAAAAGTCAATGAGCTCCCTGTCAAGCTTAGCATTCGGGTGAGGGACTTCAAAAATGTTTGAGAAGACGTGGAAGATGAACGCCTTTCGAGTCAGCGGCATGTCGAACTGCGAATCGACAGTATTGTTGCAGTCGAACGAGATAACCGGCTCGAGCCATAAAATGCTAGGAGTTTCTATGGCCTCTTTAATCAAACGCTCCCTGGTCCAGGCAGGGAAGAGAGTCTTCCGGCTTTCAAGGAGATCATGGGCTTCCTTTTGTTTGCGTTCGGCTTCTTCAGCCTCTCGCGCCACACGACTGGCATCATCTTCAACCTTGTGACTGTTCTTTCTTTTTAATATGTCAGCAATGGTCTCCTTGTCTCCTTCTTCATCTTCTTCCTCAGCTAAGTTTTTGCCTTTGTTCTTCACACCCGAACCCAAAGCTTGACCAGCCGGAGGAGATTCGGTCGTGTGAGTAGCTTTAGAGGAAGGAGGTGGTTTCGATCCAATCTTCTCATCTCCCCCTTGTTTCGGAATGGACACGAAACTCGGTAGTCCTTCGATTTTGTTGAGAAGATCGATGGCCGGAGAGAGTTTTTCAGCGAGGGTACGCCTCACTGAAAAGTTTAGAATGGGATCGTGTGCTTCCAGGATGTTGGATAATGCGGCGTGGACATCCGAAACACACGTTTTGATCACCTCCCTTTCGGATCGAAGATCGTCCAGTTGTTGTTGGGAGTTGGAGAGTTGTGTGCTCTTGACTTCGAGGGCGGTTGATTTGCCCGCCAGAACGTCCATCAAAGAATGCTCAGCTGCAAGATCCTCTTGTAGCTTAGCGAGGCGAGCATCGATGGAGGCACGAAGTGCCGAGTTGTTGTCGCTTAGGTTTTGGCGAAGAGTAGCGAACGAAGTCAACTCCGTTGAGACAAAGTTGGCCAATTGCTGAACAATTGGTTCCAAAGATGTCTTGGTGGCATGGGCGCTTTCCTTCAAGGACTTCAGCAGGATAGAAGCGTCGGAGAATAGTTTATCGACTTTTTCGGTCGCTGCCTCACAGGCTCTGGTGGAGGCATCAATCGCAGCAGTTGCTGAGGCCACCGAATCATGTTGAGCCCTGGAAAAGACATCAACAATTTTCTAAAGGGCAGCTTCAGAAAGAGAGGACTGCTGGTTGGAAGAGGAGGTGAGAAGTAGGTCAACCTTCTCGTTAAGCTCTTTTAGATGCTTCTTTGTCACTGGAGCATCATCCTCCTCGTCACTTTGAACTTGAAACGGATTATAGTAGACCGAATCAAAGATCATGTGTTCACCACCAAGGTAAGGGTTTTTGCCATCAGAGGCATTTTCAGGAGATGAAGGGGGTGGTGAAGTTGGGGGTGTTGTGGGTTTGGTAGGATCAGGTTGAGTGGGTGTTGGTATAATTTTGGGTGGTGGTTGAGTATGGGTAGTTTCGGTTGTATGGGTTTCGGTTTGTGGAGGTTCGGTTACGGGAGGTAGGTCGGTTACTGGTGGTGTTTCGGTTGCAGTGGTAAAGATTGGTGGAGGTGAAGGAACTGGGGAATTGTGAAGTTCCATCTCTGGGGTAGGGGACCGAGGTGGTGTGTTGCCTCGTTGAGGAGATTTGTCTCCTTGAGAGCCGTCAGAGCCCGAACTCTCACCCTCAGAGTCACTCGAAGAAGAGGGAATTACAAGCTTTCGCTTCTGTTGAGTCTTCCTCCTCTTCGGCTGTGGGGATTGTGTAGCCTTCGGTTGCTTCCTCTTTTTGGGAGAAGGTCCCTTTGGAGCTTTGGACGCATGCTTCCCTTTTTCTGCCTTTTTGCCCCTGCTCCGGTTTTTTTGCATCGTGAATCGACCTAAGCATATCCGGTGTCAGTTCCCTTGGACCAGATGGCCTAAGCTCCTTGATCTTCCGAATTAACCTACTATCAGATGGCACGTCGCCATACATTGACTCCGGGATGGAGCCAATGAAGGAAAATTTCGATGCATCTGAGACGATGATCTTCTTGGTATGGAACGTACCGACAGAAGACATCGATGCACCGTCAGCAGTAGGAACATCAAATTTATCCATGGCCCATCGTGTAATCAAGATCCAGAACCGGGCCAACGACACCTCAGAGTGTCGGGATGATGAGGAGAGGCTCTGGATAAGCTGCTGCCATAGGACAAACCCATAGTCCAGGTTAATCCCGTTGTAAACCCCGTACATTATTGACAGGAAGAGACAACTTGCACCATCGGATCCTGAGCTCCTTTCCGACAAGCCCTTGAAAAGGACTGTAAATAGGTCATTCCACTGTGGCGGCAGGCAAGACTTTTTAAACTTAGCGACAGAGGTGAGAACCTCTGTGTATCCCATGTTGTAAAACATGTTATACAGATGACCAATCTGAATCGACTCCGGATGAACTCTTGAAGGGTCAACAGCAAACCCTAGCAAGGTGTAGAAGCGTTGGCGAGAGACTGAGGTCTTGTGTTCTGCAAGCTCGAAAAACACCCGGTCGACGGCCTTGTCGTAGTAGGCAGTCGCGTAAACCTGCGATAGGGCCACCATTGACACAGATTCAATTCTTGAGAGAGCCGGAGCAAGTTGGGAATACTTCAAACATTCTATGACCGGCGACATATAGGAGTCGTACGCCAGTGGGTTAAGATCAATGACCAGACATTATTGTGGGCGGATGGGAAGGATTTGTGAGGTAGCATGAACGGAAGATGAGTCAGCCATTTATGCAGGTATGAAGGAGAGGATGAACAGGAAACTGTTTGGGAGTATTTGCTCTTTGGAAATTTTGGAGGCAGTAAAGAGGTAAAAGGTGGTGTAGAGGGCTTTTAGGAGAGAGAAAAATCGTTTCAAATCTCGTATGGAAATATGAACCGGGTTCTTGAGTGACAGATGGATGACAGTTGAGGCGTGCGATGATCACGTAGGAGAGAGAGTGTCAGGTTCCTAGGATCACGCCGCCCAATTAGCGCCGTTTCACAGAGAAAAGCCGTTACCATTTCCACACGCGCATTTAAGGTTTAAGTGTGGATTCCCGTTAAATTACGATCAAACATTTATTAAGAAATGTTGAAAGGCTTCTTTTAATTAGACTAAATAAGGGTGGCTTGGAAAAAATATAAAATCTCAAAAGAAAATTAAAAACTGGATCCCAAGGGAAGAAATGTTATGGTGTTTAACAATTTC